CAGTTCTGGCCACAGTCCCCTCAGGTTGGGCACCTGCGGCCCCCCAGACAAGCTGGGGTGGGGTGGGCCCTGGACAGAGCAGCAAGAAGGCCAAGGGGGGCCAGGGCTGCCTGCAGCCTTTCCAAAGGCAGGAACACGAGGTCTGCCTGCATGAAACATCGAGGCTGGCTTCTCGGTCGTGCCTGTCACTCGGCAGCACAGTCACAGCCACAAATGATAAACGTGAACCAGATGAATCCTGGGACACTACACTCCGTGTACAAGATGCAACTGCAAGGAAGTGGGAGAAGCATTCCACAAGCCACTGGTGAAAATCCTTGCTGTCAACTCATAGATCTGTGCCTCATACGTTCTGGCACCACAGCTCGTGGCCAGCACAGCGCTGTGGAAAATGAAGAAAATGAGGGAATGCTAGACATGGTGGGAATATTGCTGCAGATGACTAAGTTCCCAGAGTCGAGAAGGGCCTTCAGGATGCAAGGTGGACAAGAATCCAAAGTGCACACACACATACATGCGCCTCAGAAACCCAACCAAGGAAGACCCACATCAATGAGGACATTATTAGATACATACCAGCACAGACCACAGAAAGGTACACCATGCAATTAAAAAACAGTAACTCATGAACACATTCTTGCCTACTCTGGTTTGAGAATGGTTACATGGGGTCTGACCACTGCACTAAATGACACAATAAAAGGACATGGTTCTCCACTTCAATCACCAATCATGCAGCCTGGCATAGACACCTCCATGTCATGTATGCCCAACCTCTTCATGGCCCAGGGCCAGCAGCCTCCCTCCCCACCCTCCATGCAGCAGGCACCCAGCCTCTGTCATTCCAGAAACCCAAAGTCCCCTGGCATCCCGAGTGTGACCCCACAGCAAGGAGCTGAGGGTATTCCTGCACCCATCACAGGGATGACGGCAGCAGGAGCTGAGTTCTGAGCATCAAAAGCAAGAATCCTGAATGTTCCTTCTTGCACAGACATTGCTCCCCCAGTGAGAGGCTCTGCACCCGGGACCATGGAACTTCAGAAACATTAAGGATATGAAGGTTTTCTATGGATAAACTTGGAGCCTGACCAATATATACTATTGATTCTATAGAAAAGGAGTGCACTGAATACTTGTGCTTGTCAACTGGGATTTCAACACCTGGAATTTCGGGCCCTACCACCCAATCACGTGCATTTGCTAACAACTCCCCTCGTGTTCACAAATGCCTTTTATCTGTCCTGAGCTGATGCTGCTTGAGACTCATGAAGGGCTCTCTTCACTGTGGCTGCAGCTCTCGACTCAGTCAGCAAGCCCACACTCCCCTCTCAACAGTCCTGGGTTGCTATAAATGACCCTCACTCTCTTAGGTCTGTCTCCTGTGGCTCCCGCTCTTGGTCCTTCTCTGCAAGTCACCCCAGAACCACCGAGATGAGTCCACATGCAGAGGCCCGACATGCTGAGCTACATCCCCGGTCCTGCCCTCCAGGTATCCTTCTGGGTTGTTTTAACATCTGGAATTAAGGAAGTGTCATTATTGCTTTATTTTTGGAATGATGAATAGATTAAGATACTATATCAAGACCCATTTTATGCCCCTAAAATAACTTCTAAAGGTCATTAAATAAGAAGAGTTTTAATAGGAAATTCTCTACTTCAACAGCTCATTAGAATTCCTTCCAAACAGGCATTTCCAACCCCAGGGAGTGCTGTTACTGCCACAAGATCCAATGCCTTCTTCAGGGTTGCTTTTTGACTTTTAAAGGATAAAATATTATGACATTGAAGAAAATATTCAGAATACAACTGAATATTGAAGACAATATTCAGAATATTCATTGTGGTATACTTCCTGAAGTTTTTTTTTAATACTATTATCACTTATCTAATGTCTTTGTCTTCCACTGTTATCACCGTAACTAACGAATTTGGTATCCACTTTTTCAGTTAAAAGTCACACAGTGACCACATCTTTGCACGCTACCATGACATCTTCACAACCACCACTGTTAGTGGCTGCAGTGTGCCTTGCCGAGGCAGAATGCACTAAGGGACCTCACCGCCACTAACCCACAGACCTGGCTGCCAAAGTTTGTACTGTTTCCTCACAGGAGAGCCCCAAGAGTAAAAGAAAAACTGCCAGCCCCTTTAAGGCTCTTGATACATTTTGCTAAACCGCTTTTCAAAAGGTCACACAATTTACAATGCCACTACCTTTTTAAACCATATCCACGTGTTTTGGTTATACTAATAGCTTTTAATAAAGCTTGTTATTTGTTTTAATGTGAATTTTTAAAACTCTTTGCTAGTTATATGAAAATGTCTCCCTGAGTCCTTACTAACCCAGGTGTGGACTTGGGAGCAACAGCGTCGGCATGTCCTAGGGGCTGATCAGAAAGGCAGAATCTCAGGTCCCAGCTCAGACCCGCTGAGTCAGAATCTTTATCCTAACAAGATCCCCAGGTGACCCGCTACACACTGAAGTTTGAGAAGCACTGCAGGAGGGGAAATCTCCAGGATCCTCTTGGAGTCTGGGGAGGGGGTGGCCTGCATTCCCCACTCAGGGCCCCGAAGATGCCGTCACACACCAACCAGGCAAAACGGGGTTGAGATTACTCAGTGCAAATTCTGGAAGAGGAAAAATCAAGTTCAAGAAAGTACTTTCCCCAAGTTTCCAGACTCTCAGACACTCTGAAGATTAAAGAAATTTGCCTTTTGGGGTCATACTGGCAACACATGCTGCCCCGTGCCTTTGCCTTTCCATCTTGATGTGACAGTCCCACGTGGCTGGCTGCGCGGTCAAGCTTCCCCACGCTGGCTTTGGTGACTTCCTCTCATGGCAACCTCAGAGTGACCATCTTCCACCATATGGGCTGATCAATACTAATTTCTTTCAAAACTCCATCCATTTCATCCAAACTTTAAATTTTTATAGTGAGGTAAGTGCTTGGGAGTGGGGGTGGGGGTCTAAGAATTTTCCAAATAATGAACATGTGAACCTGCTGCCCGAGATCATTCACTGAACATTTTTCCTTCCGTACTGAAATACAATGTTTGTCTCATTCAAGTTCGTAGGAGTGACGCGATTTCCAGGCCATTCTATTCCCTTATTTGTCATTACAATAGTTGGGAATACACTCACACATCACACAGGACTGGTTTTCTATTGATAAAAGCCACTTAAAAAAATCGGTTCAATATTCTTACCTATTTTTCCCTCAGATGGGACTTTGGAAATAATTTTGTCAGGATAGGGTGGAAAATCCCATTGAAAGTGTGACTGGTAGGCCACTAACTAAACTTGAGAATTACTATCCTTTTATCTACAATATTTAATTTTCTTTATCCTAGAACATGGTATTTATTTTCTTGGTTGAAATTTTCTTTTTATCACCTGAGTCAAGCTGTTGTGCAGGTTCACAGAGATCACATGTAGGACTCAATCCCTAACAAGGTTCTTTATTACCTGAAAATTAGGACAAGTTTGCCTTTATTACCATCACATTTCTGTTTCACGTCTTATTTCAAATGTCTAAAACCATACAAGGTAAGAATGACCATAGGACGCAGGAAGCTCTGGACATGCCTGATGTGGGGGAACCAGCTAACAGCTGGTTCTCAGCTCCCTTCCTGGCTTTGGCTCAAGCAGAACATCATGTTGCAGAAAGGGCAGTGTGACGCCCTCCAGCTTCTGGAAGTAGGGCTGAGGCTGAGTGTTTGGGTTTCCAAAGGGCTTTTGAGGCTGCCTGACCTGGTGGGGCCAGGTGGGCTGGTCCTTACTCCCAGCAGGAGCCCACAGCTATTCAATGGGGCTGGAAACCCTCACGTGGGGTAGGGTGCTGCTGCCTGAGCAAATGCCCTGTCAAAAGGAGGAAGAGCAAATCTGAGAAAAGGCAATATAGCCGGACAGAGCGGCAAACCAGGGAGACCTAGCTAAAAGCATAGGGCCCTGTGTGACCCAGCGCATGTTCAAGCACTTCAGATCCTCTAAGATACCTTTTGTCAAGACAAATGCAATTAATTTCCCAAATCACCTAATGACTATTTGAAGTATTCAAAAAAAAAAAAAAATGAAAAGGAAAAAGAAAACATGAGTGAAATCAAATGAGTGATGAACATGAAACAGGAACTCCCTGGCCAGATTTCCATAGTAATACACACTAAAAAGATATAGGCAATGCTCTGTATTATCTAGTATCTATCTATCTATTTATTAAATAATGCGTATGTTAATGCTCTATAACACTTCATTAAATGACTGCGGTTGGGGCAGACAACAGGGGAAAGTGGGGAAGGGAAATGCAATTGCTACTTAAAAACACTGTCTACCATTCTCGACTAAACAGGCACAGATGAAGAAATAGAGCTAAAGCATCAGGTGAGGGAAAACACAGAACAGACTGACAGAATACAGACAGACGGTTAAGAAAGACTTGCCTAGACATGGAAGTGTTCTAGACTGTGTGGTGGATGGAATTACTGTTCCTAATTTCTCGCCTCTCCTTTCCCAAATCACCTTGCAGACCCTCTCCCTGGAGACACAGTGGACTCCTAGTCTCTTGACTCAGGCTCAGTCATATGAATTGCCCCAGCCAATGGGAGGCTGGATTGAAATGCACCTGCTTGAAATGCCCTTTTGTGTCTCTTCTGTAACCATGAGAAGGGCCCTCTGTCCTGGAGGGCACCAGAAGGAACACATGCGGAACACACCAGAGCTCAACCTGCACCAAGGAGTAAACCCACCAACCCAGTCAAATCACAGCTTGAAGCAGAGCTACTAGGCAAGTCAACCCAGTCCTGCCAACCTGCAGACAACTCACAGAAGCACAAGCAAGACTCAATGACTGCTGTTGTAAGCCACTCATTTTTTTTCGGAATGTTTGTTACACAGCCTTACTGTGGCAATAGCTGACTGATACAGGTGGCACCCCCAAAGAAAATCCACAAGTCATTTAAAGATAGCTTTTCCTTCCAAGCTCATAAAGAAATCAGTTACTTACCAGGATCACCCTTTTTCTTTGAACCAGACTTCTTCTTTGCAGGAGCCTCTTGCTTTGGTACCTCCTGGCTCTGGACCGTATCTGTATTTTTGCCCTGGATGGGAGCTGACTCTCTCTTTTTACCCTGATTAGCAGCCACGTCCACCTTCTTGGCTTGGTTGGGGGACCCTTCTGCCTTTTTGCCCTGGTTTGGTGTTCCCTCTGCCCTTTTGCCTTGACTGGGGACCCCCTCTGCTTTTTTCCCCTGGTTCGTAACACCCTCTGCCTTTGTGCCCTGATTAGCAACTGAATCTGCCTTTTTGCCCTGGTTGGGGGTTCCCTCTGCTTTTTTGCCCTGGTTAGGACTCCCATCCACCTTTTTGCCCTGGTTCTGACCCCCCTCAGCCTTTTTTCCCTGGTTGGGAGCCCCTTCCACTTTTTTGCCCTGGTTCTGGGCACCCTCGGCCTTTTTGCCCTGGTTCTGGGCGCCCTCGGCCTTTTTGCCCTGGTTCTGGGCCCCCTCGGCCTTTTTGCCCTGGTTCTGGGCCCCCTCGGCCTTTTTGCCCTGGTTCTGGGCGCCCTCGGCCTTTTTGCCCTGGTTCTGGGCGCCCTCGGCCTTTTTGCCCTGGTTCTGGGAGCCCTCGGCCTTTTTGCCCTGGTTCTGGGCCCCCTCGGCCTTTTTGCCCTGGTTCTGGGCGCCCTCGGCCTTTTTGCCCTGGTTCTGGGCACCCTCGGCCTTTTTGCCCTGGTTCTGGGCACTCTCGGCCTTTTTGCCCTGAGCAGTGCCGGTAGCTGGGGTATTGGCCTTGGCACCTACTGGCGGCACAACCACCATGGGCACCTCCTTGGGAGCGGTTTCCAAGATGGTTCTTGAGGCAAGAACCTGGATGGAATTCACTACAGAACTGACAGCTGGTTCCACTTTTGCCACTTTTTTCTCCTTCTTCTTTTTGTCCTTAGGGGAGGAGGCCGGCTTCTGGGGCATGGCTGGAACTGTGGCAACAGGGGCAACAATCACGGGAGGCTGGACTGGGGTTGGAGCCACAGCCACGGCAGGGGCCCGCAATGGCTCTCTAAGGAGGACGGTCACGTTGGGTGCTAGCTCGTGGTCAGGTATCTTGCCGTTGGGTTTCTCTTCCTTTTTCTTGGTCTTCCCTTTCTTTTCCACTGTTTTCTCCTTCTTTTTCTTCTCTACTTTTTGGTGGTGAGTTTTTGCCATCTCCTTGCGCTGGTTGGCTAAGGCTTCTTCATATGACGTTTCCTTCATGGAGAAGGTCGACACCAGGAAGATGCCAATGGCAGAAACAACCATGAATCCGCCAAAGACCACAACCCCCAAGGTCTGAGTGTCGTAAATGTCCATTCTGGCTTGCTTCCCTTTCACCTGCCAAACACATACACAGAGATTACTTTTGTAGAAACTGAGGCATTCAACAGTTTCCATCCCAACCCCTATCACTAAACTGAAGGTGTACAAATTCTTTCTTTCTAATAAATTCAGAGAAGCAGCAAACCCAGGCCCTTCCTGATGTCACATGTTCTTACCTGCTCTTCTTTAGAAGTGACCAATTTTTATCCAAGACATGAGCAGTCCCCATGTTTGATAATGAAGCAAGAGTGGAGAGATGGCAGAGTGCAGGTCTGTGCCTGGAGTACACAACGCCCAGGAGATGCAGGAGCCAAGATCCCAAATCAAGATGTTCCCCACCGCATGGGGCCAAAGATGCACATGGGAACAAGCGCAGGCCAGGGGTGAGACAATAGGGCAAAAATACCCCACCCAGAAGTAGGGTGTAGGTGCCACCCAGCCAACGCTGACTGCCATTGAAATGTAGCACTGAGCGGAGAGATCTTTTGATTTTTCATGGTAGGCTAGAAATCTTTTCTATTTCTTCTCTCAAAATAAAATTGATCGATTTGAAAAATGCCATGTAAGCCAAATCAGACACTTCTGCAGGCTTTTGGTCAAGCGCAGGTTGGCAAGCAGGCCCCCGACCCCTCGTCTCTCCTCTGTTGCCTCCCTTCTCCCAGTGCCGATGAACATGCTACCAAGGGTCAGAGATAAAAACCTTGTGTTACGATCCTGAAAAGTCATCAAGAATTTGGTGAGGGAAAAGGGCTTTTTGCCAGTGATGACTCCTGAGGAGTACGGAGCCTGCAATTTGCATGCTGAGAAAAAGGAAAAATCACTCTTGAGAAGCCCAGCAGACTCCAGGTTTGGAAGTTCACATCTAAGGCTGCACAGAGGGAGGGTGGGGCAATGTCACCAGGCCCTTTGTCAGACCACACACCCCAAACCAACAGGAGCCACACCATTCCCACTGCCTATGGACCAAAGTCCAAAGAGTCACAGGCAACCATGTCCATGCCTTCCTGGCCGACAGCTTAGGCTAAGTTTGACTTCACTGAGGAACTCCAAGAGGTGTATTTATTTGGATATGCTCAACTTTTTTTCCTTTCTTTTTCTTTCATAACCGAGATTTTATTGGTTGTGTTGAGCATCGGTACAGACATTTCTATTTGTACACAATTCTTAACATATGTACCGAAAATCTAAAAAGCCATTTATTGTAATTCTTTTTTAAATAGTTATTCCAGTGACTTTCCAGCTTAAAATTGGGAGGCAAATTTTCCTTAAGAGGATATCAAGAGGTCATCGCCAGTACCGGTATCTTCAAATGTTGACAAGCTATTATGTAAGTCTCACCAATTTAAAATTTATTATCATACATATTTATACATACTCAAATTTTCACAATCTTTCACAGCACGTTAACAAAGTTATTAGGAACACAGAACTACCACAAGCAAAGATGTCACAGAGTATACACAACTCTGACAGGAGAGCCATGATCAAGGAATGGTTTCCTTTAGAAAACAATTCTACTAAAAAGCAACATGGGAATAGGAGTAATTCAAAATGTTCAAGACATTAAATGCAGGCCTGGGACTCCACACTGCCATTTAGTATGCTTTATATTATAGGATATAAAAACTAACCTCCCACCCCAATCTATGGAATGTTAAGCTGACACCCAAGACAGTCAAAGCCCCCCATAATTCAATATCCCACATTATTTTCTGGTTGTACCAAAAAATAAACAATCAGCGAATGATTTCACCTTTAAAAAAAAAAAAGCATTGACTTAAAAAATGGGATGAGGTGGGATTCCCTCCTTCTTAAAAATGTTTCTAGAGCTACTAAAAAACTTGCATTTATGAAATAGCTGATAAAAATATTCCTCTGGATTGTACAAGAAGAGAGACAGACCACTGATAAGACCTGGTGTATGATATTAATCAGACGCGGCTTTTCTCTCTCCTGTTTCCTCAGAGGCTGGATGCTCCTCAGTTTTAGTTTCTCCATTTTCTGCAGGTGAATCTTCTTTAGTTTCTTGGTTAGCCCTTCTGTCTGTTTTCCTTTTGCTCCTTTTTCCCTTTTGGTTACACTTTTTTGTCTGAAGATTTATCTTTTGTTGCTGCCTTTTTTGGCTTTGTTTCCACTTCTGCAGGAGCAGGTTAAGCTGACAACCACACTGATCTCCTCTTGGGCTCTTTCCTTCATGGTGCCTTTGGCCGAGCTGACCTTCCTCTTGGGTATCTTGGCGCCAAGAGCCTTCGTGAAGCTGGGCTGCCTGGCCACTGCCATTCCTCCCACTGCCCAAGCTGCTGAGACGCCACAGTGGGGACCACGGGAGAACCGCACACTCAACTGTTAACTAGTGTTGATGCTCTCATCAATTCCCAGGCCCCTGAACCGGAGACAGTGAGAAACAGTGTAGCCCCTGTGAAAAGGATCACCAATGGAATGAATGAGCAGACGCACGTGTAAGAAGGTGTGGGTAAGAGGAGGTGGAGGGGTGTAGGAGAGAAAAGGGAGAGAAGAAGGGACCAGGCCTGCCCCAGCATTGCCCTCTGAAACCTCTAGACACTGTGGCAGGCTGGGTCCAGATACTGGTTAGTAGCCCAGACACTGAGATTCCTCTTCTAAGAAGCTGAGATTCCCACTCCTCTTGAGTGAGTGTGGGGGAGGGAAATAGGGTAGGAATTTCCAGACAAATCACATAAAATCCAATTTTTGACATTGTGGCATTTTAAAGAAAGGACTGAGAAGAGAGATTGTATTAAACGTCTCAGCACTTATGTTCTAAGAAAAATCAATCTCAAAGCAGAACAAATGCATGATTGTGCCATGCCTTTCTAGTAAGACCCTTGCAGGAAGAGAATTTAATAGGCTCATGATGAAAACTTCCCAGCTCATGCTCTCCGTGGGGATAACACCCCATCAGCTGCCTCTGTAACACTCACTTCTCCCACAGATACCAACCCGGGTTGGGCAGGACCAAGTCACCACTTTTCATTCTGGTCATAACCACTGCAAACAAAGTCTTAGGCAAGCTCATGGAGACCTTCAAATCCTGGGCAAAGTGGCAATTATGTTTCCAAGTGGATTCTGACCTCTGGCCATGGGCAGTGACAGTGTGATCCACAGCCAGGGCACTCTCTTATATGACAATCAAGGGACACTCCCATAAATGAGCCTTTCCCAGAAGACACTCTTAAGCTATGTGCTGAAAAGGAAACTGCACCCTGCTCAGCTCTGGATGGATTCAGTGGGTAGGAGGGTGAGGAAAAGAAGGTTTAGAACGTTGTACGGTCAACCCCCATTTCTTGGTAGGCATCCACCAACTGAAACTCTTCCGGGTACTCACAAGGACTTCTCAGAACTTTGCCAACACGGACATGTTCAGGTACAAAAACTACATTATAATCACTACATTCAGTCTATTCAGACAACAAAGATCCTCTAAAGCACTCCTCTTCTCCAAAGGGAGACTAATGCTACGGGCCTGGGTCATCCTGGCCGAGGCTTCGCAAACCTGGAGTAGCTTCCTAATGACTATGTGCTCGAGGGGTGCTCTCCCATGGGCTGCAGTTAGCACAGTTCACCAAACCCTAATGCAGCGACTAGCCATCTACAAAGCAGGTCCTGTTCAACACTGCAGACTGTGGAGCTCTGTGCAGCCTTGTGGTTTCCAACTTCTCAACTCTGACAGAAACGCCAACGTTGGAAAATTAGGCTTTAATCTTACCCAACATAGTCAAACATGGGATACAAAAATACATTCTGTTAGGAGCACAGAATTGAGAAATGCGAACTTAGGAGAATATTTTTCCTCTGCAGAGCACACAAATGTATGTTTTACAGCACCACAAATGTGTCTTCCCAACTTTTACAGAGTGGGTTGCTTTAAAATGAAATTATGTCCCCACCGCTAATTCCCGAGTTAGAATTTTTTAAAAGAAATCTTTCACAGGAAAATGAAAAGCCCTAGTATTAAGCAGTAATACACTGAAATGTTTCAGGGTAAGGCAATATCACCATGGACAGTAAAGAAATCAAAATGAAAAACAACCTTTCTGCTGCTGTGCAGAGTCAGCTTGGGTGGGGCATAAACATCACACTGGGAGATCCTTGATTCGCAGAAATGGTAACGCCAGGATGCGTCTCCAGTATGTTCTCCAGATCAGTTCCAGTATGTTCTCCAGATCAGCACGCCAGGGGCTTTGCTCCTTAAATCCCCACCATGATCAGAGGCCCCTCAACAGGAAAATTCTCCAGGGTTTTCCCCCAAGGCCAAAGAATTAGGGCAGATGTGTACAGTCTGACCGCAAGCAATCTACAGTCCATCAATTCTAGAAACTTCTGTGAAATAATGCACTTTTACTCACTTACTACAGTAGTCCCCCCGCCTTATCCATGGAAGATATATTCCAAGACCCCCAGTAGATGCCTGAATAGTCCCAAGGGATAGTCCCAAGCCCTATATGCACTGTTTTTTCCTATACATACATACCTATGATGAAGCATAATTTATAAATCAGGCACAGTAAAAGATGAACAATAGCTACTAATAAAATAGATCAATTATAACAATATGCCAGCATCACTACTCTTGCATTTTGGGGCCATTATTATGGAAAATAAGGGTGCCGTGAACACAAGCACTGTGATACCAAGACAATGGATCCGATAACCAAGCTGGCTGCTAAGTGACTCACGGGAGGGCGGCACAGATAGCATGGATCTGCTGCACAAATGGAGGATTCACGTCCTGGGAGGGATGACGCAGGATGGTGAGAAATTTCATCACACTACTCAGAATGGCATGCAATGTAAAACCTAGGAATTATTTCTGGAATTTTCCATTTAATATTTTCAGACCACAGCTGACTGCAGGTAACTGAAACTGCAAAAAGCAAAATCTCAGATAAGGAGGGACTACTGTATTGCTAGTACACTTAGAGCATAATGCAAAAAGCTGAAGGCCCTGAGAGGGAAGGATGTAGGAGGCCATCCAGAGGTTTGGGGCCAGTCCCAGG